TTAGTAGAGACAGGGTTTCACCATGTTGACCAGGATGGTCTCGATCTCTTGACCTCGTGATCCACCCGCCTCGGCCTCCCAAAGTGCTGGGATTACAGGCTTGAGCCACCGCACCCGGCTTAAAAACATTTTTATTTGGGTACAGTGCTATGTGGCTGTAGTCCTAACTACTCCGGAGGCTGAAGCCAGAGGAACTCTTGAGCCCAGGAGTTGAAAACTAGCCTGGACAACATAGTGAGACCCCATCTCTGAAAAAGAATTTCAGGGACCACAAATTAACAAAGACGTTTGTTGTTTAGAATCACAGAGTAACTATTATACCGTGGGTCTGTTTCTTTATAGGCATGCGTCACCATACCTGGCTAATTTTTTACTTTTAGTAGAAACATGGTTTCACCATGTTGGTCAAGCTCGTCTCAAACTCCAAACCTCAGGTGATCTGCCCACCATGGGTCTGTTTTAACAGGACTACCATTTGCTGCCTGTAAGGTCTGTGACCCAGGTCAGGTGCTGGCTTCAGCAGTTTCTTAGTCTCAGCTGGGGCTCTGGGAAGGGGAGGAAATGGAGAAAGGAAGTAGAGGAGCATTTATTTGCTCATCCTGGGTTGATTCTGCTATTGAAGAAAAGGAGAGCTCAGCTACTGGGTAGAATAGTAAATGTCATTGTTAAAGCTTTTGTTGACCGGGCGCATTGCCTCACACCTGTAATCCCAGCACTTGGGGAGGCCAAGGTGGGCAGATCACTTGAGGTCAGGAGTTTGAGACCAGCCTGGCCAACATGGCAAAACCCCATCTCTACTAAAAATTTAAAAAAAAAATTGGCTGGGTATGGTGGCGTGGGCCTGCAGTCCCTGCTACTTGGGAGGCTGAGGCAAGAGAATCACATGAACCCAGGAGACAGAGGCTGCAGTGAGCTAAGATCGGACCATTGCACTCCAGCCTGGGTGACCAGAGCAAGATTCTATATCAAAAAAAAAAATTACGTTAAATTAATTTTTTACCGCATTTTAGTGAGCTATGGTTTTTTTGGTTATCTGAAATTCCCCCTTCCATCACTCCTAGTTAATAAATTTACTGCAGCTTTTCAGAATTCATTATCTGCCCCTTGTCTCCCTCCCCACCTGAACTTGCCAAAAGTGTGTGGTATTACAATGTTAGAGATCTTCAATTACTGACAAAATCTTTAGATGAAATCTTTAGCAATGCCAGGAAGAAAATTCCTTGCAGGTTTTTAGAACAATCCAGAATAATGGTTCAGGTTTCCTTTGCTTTTACAATGCAGAGGTTTATCTTAGGCTTATAATATGTATTTTCATATACATGTGGTAAATTTTACTATTGTCTTAAAAACTGATGTTTTCCCATCTATCCAAAGTCTTTAACTTTAAAAAGTGTAAACTATGAGCACGTTTTCTCATTTGTAAAATGAAGATAAAAGACTTTCTGAGTTTTTGAGGTCTAACTATGTAGTCCTATATACAAACTGTGATTCTCATTCCTATCAGTAATTTCAGATCTAGATTCACTTTTTGCTGTGAAGAATTGGTTTACCTGTAATTGTAATGTAGTTTGGTGGGATCTTTTTCATGTTTTATTTTGTTGAAGTATCATCAAGTTTAGCCAGTAGCAGCTGCAATATATCTTGATGTTTTCAGCTTGCAGATTACAACCCATTAATGGATCATGACATCAGGTTAGCAGTGGTTGGTCTCAGCTAGCATTTTTAAAAAATAGAATAAAGTAAAGGCTGGGCACAGTGGCTCCTGCATGTGATTCAGCACTGGGGAAGCCAGGGTGGGCACATCAATTGAGTTCAGGAGATTGAGACCAGCCTGGGCAACATGGTGAAACAGTATTTCTACAAAACATAAAAAAAAATTAGGTGGTTGGCCGGGCGCGGTGGCTCAAGCCTGTAATCCCAGCACTTTGGGAGGCCGAGGTGGGTGGATCACGAGGTCAAGAGATCGAGACCATCCTGGTCAACATGGTGAAACCCCGTCTCTACTAAAACTATGAAAAATTAGCTGGGCATGGTGGCGCGTGCCTGTAATCCCAGCTACTCAGGAGGCTGAGGCAGGAGAATTGCCTGAACCCAGGAGG